GGGTGCCGGCCGCTGCATCAGAACGCACACAGACCGGCGCAAGGGTGAGGAAAGAAGTTCGGGATCCAATGAATTTTCATCCGTTATGGTACTTTAGGCAATTTGCCAAAAGTGCAATTTTTGGTGGGCGAAATTTTGGTACATAGACATAAACACACACACTGAACGCTAAATATGTCTTCCTCTCTATCTCCACCATATGTGGGTTGGGAATCTTAGTAGTTTACGTAAGGGAAGATAACACTGTGTGCTTTCAGTTCATCTGCAAGATCAAAATGCATTTTCTGTACTTACTAAAAGGTTCCTAGCCTGAAACATAAAAACAAATGCAACCAAATCGCAAAAAAGTGGACCTTTAGCCATATTTTTAAAATAACAACAAACACACCATGTTTAGAAATCAACCAGCAGAGGGAGGACCTGAAGGAGAAAGTTCTCCTTCAGGTCCTCCTCTGCTGATTGACAGTAAGCAGTGGGCCGGTTCAAAAGCCAGCCTGCTTTTGACTATTTCAAATATGCAGTGGCCAATAGCAGACTGGCCATTGCCCACACCCACTGCCTCCAAGCCTCTCTGACCCGTCCAGCAGTGCTGCAATGTGTCCAGCCACGCCCCACCCCTGCCTGATGATTTTATTGATTAGTTGCTGCTGCCCTACTGTTAACAATTACATTAGAAGGGGGAAGCTAAATAACATTTTGCAGCAAGTAAAAATTTAAGCAGCAATATATTATTTTTTTTTACATTATGCTATGTGAATGGGAACATGTAACAAATAGTGTCATCCAAACATGGCTGCAAAAGTGGATATACGCTTTAAAAGGAGATAGAAAGTCTAGACCATTCTTTGCTTTTAGAACATCAGCATTGTAACAGCAATACAAACAATAGTTTTTTTTCACAATCCATTACAATTTTACTTCTCTCCTTTCACACCGAGTGCTGCCTATGTGCTGGTCATCTCTTTCAACATCGACAAATGTAGGGCCCTGCATTATGTGTGATGTTGCAGAGACACAGTCCAGAAGCCAGATCGCAGGGGAGACCAGAAGAACGCCGACTGCAAGGGGATGGGGACCAAGCAATTAAAAAACTGCTTTACCCGATACCCTAAACCTGAATGAGCATTCAACCCTTGCAGGGCAAGGGCAGCCCAACTGTATAGAGTTTATTTTTCACCCTCGGAGATAGACTTTAGGATCTGATTAAAAGTAAGCCTGATCTAATGCATATTTAATGTAGAAATGAACGTGTGATTTTACATTTTGACTATAGATATAATTTGAAGTAAAAAAAGAAATATAGTAACCACTTCCCTCTCTGAAACCGATAACAGTTTAGGCTAACCCAATGGATTTAATGCCAAGTAACTGACCCAACACAAATGCGCAGACGAGAGGCTGAAGAAAAGCAAGCAATCTGCAAGTTTTGTATAGGTCAGTGATAAAGTATTTGAGCAACAAGGGAAGCATGACAGCCAGACAACCAGAAACCTTTTTTTTGGTTATAGTTCTTTTTTGGGTCACAGGAGGACATTTACTAATGTCCTCCTGTGACCCAAAGTCAGCAAATAGCACCCCGCTGCCTAACTGACAGCTGGTTTTGCCTCTCTAGAGCCAGAGCCAACTGGTCTGTCCCCCCAACAACAGGGGAATCCCTGTGGGGAGCGATGACTGACAGTCGCCAATCTCTGCAGGGAGAACCCATGAGCTGGGCAATCAGTGGTTTGTGATCGCTTATTTCGCCTTTAATGAAGTATTTTGCAGTTCATGCATCAAATCTGTAGCTTTTAGTAGCACTTTCTGCAGCTTACAGCCACAACAGGCACCTACAACTGTTCTGTATAATGAATGCAAGCAACAGAACTCAGATCTGGGCAATAAGTAGATATATCTAGGGCTGCAACCAACAAATCAATTAATCGATACTTGGCAACTATTCTCATTATCGATTAGTTGATTGGATCCCCTAGCTCTCTCCTTCATGCTGGGAGGAGGGCAAAGCAAGTAGTGGGTGGGTGCAATATCCAGCCTGCTATTGGCTACTGCAATCTGAAATGGCCAATAGCAGGCTGGCTATTATGAAAATAATCTTTAGTTGGAGCCCTAGAGATATCTACTAAAAGGATACAATGACCACCATATATGCACAAAAAGCAGCACAAATCTATATCTAACTAAATCTATTTATTTTTACACACACTTTAACTCCTGAATATCATTCATTAAATTAGTTTTAAATGTTTATATGCCCCCTAATAAATTGTCGTGCTACACATGAACATCAAATGTGTTTGTTAAACCTCAGTGAAGGTATTGCTTCTATTGCCCACCTGGAGTTTTCATTGTCTTCTTGACTCAAAGAAACAGAAGGATGCCTGTTACTATTCAGGTAAAAACACGTCTAGCAAAAACAAGGATTAGAGCACTTAGTGATAGACTAATGTTTGCCCACAACTTTAGGGATGCCAGCAGGCATCCATCCATCATAATACTTAACCAGCGCCAACGATGTGCAGTGGCAAGGGACACTCAATCACAGACACAAGCTCGTTTTTCTACAGTCTCAGTTGCTGAAAATTGTCTTCACAAATCTTGCCAACACACACAAATATTAATTTCTACGGCAGCACTAAAAAGTTGTTGCCACGCCCCTTTGTATAATGACATTGGATTCCCCAATATCCATTTCCAACAATAAAACACGAGACTTGCAAATTATAGGACGCCTGCTACATGTAGTATGTAGTAGTACATACATGTAGTATGTACTATGTAGTATAAACTTTCCTTACACTAACAGCACAACAAGCACATCAAGTTAAACACTGCAGGTAAATATATTCATATACGGATATGTCAGCGAGCCTTTATTTCTTCACTAGGACTTTTATTCCCCCCGTTGTCCAAAAACCAGGTTATATTTATCACCCCCAAACACTTCTGGAAGCATTAGAGTCAGTACATGCTGGAGCATTGCATCTTCCTGATGACAACCATGGTCCTGGCACCAGCTGGACCCTGTGCAATTTGCAAAGGTATTCAGTGTAGATTGTGGGAGGCTTTCTCAACCATGGACAGGCCAAGGAGGAGAGAGCAGTTACAAACACTCTTGCATGCACAGCCTCCGACACTTACAGGAGTGTTGGAAGCTGTACATGTTAGATTGCTGCAAATGCTTTCCCGCCTCCATTCTGATGTCAACCAATAAGTGCCGGAGACTGTGCATACTAGAGTGCTACAGATGCTCCCCCTCTTTGATTGATACCATTCAATGGGTGCCAGAGGATGTGCAAGGTAGAGTACTGTAGACGCTCCCCCCTCCTCAGTCCCGATGTCAACCAATGGGGCTGGAGGCTGTGCATGGTAGAGTGCTGCAGATGCTCTCCCTCCTCATTTCTGATGTCAACCAATGGGTGCCGAGGATGTGCATAGTAGCGCACTGCAGATGCTCTCCCTCCTCAGTTCTGATATCAATCAATGGGTGCCAAGGATGTGCATGGCAGAGTGCCGGAGATGCTCCCCCTCCTCGGTCCTGATGTCAACCAATGGGTGCTGGAGGCTGTGCATGGTAGAGAATTGCAGATGCTCCCCCTTGGTTCTGATGTCAATCAATGGGTGCGAAGGATGTGCATGGTAGAACGCTGCAGATGGTCCCCCTCCTCAGTTCTGATGTCAATCAATGGGGCTGGAGGCTGTGCATGGTAGAGTGCTGGAGATGCTCCCCCTCCTCAATTCTGATGTCAACCATTGGGTGCTGGAGGCTGTGCAAGGTAGAACGCTGCAGATGGTCCCCCTCCTCAGTTCTGATGTCAACCAATGGGTGATGGAGGCTGTGCATGGTAGAGTGCTGGAGATGCTCCCCCACCTCAATTCTGATGTCAACTAATGGGTGCTGGAGGAAGTGCATGGTAGAGTGCTGGAGATGGTCCCCCTCCTCAGTTCTGTCAACCAATGGGTGCTGGAGGCTGTGCATGGTAGAGTGCTGGAGATGCTCCCCTCCTTGGTTCTGATATCAGTCAAGGGGTGCTGGAGGCTGTGCATGGTAAGGTGCTGCAGATACTCCCCCTCTTCAGTTCTGATGTCAACCAATGGCATTCCAGTGGCTGGAGAAGCACCCGCAATTAGAATTACCAGTCCAAGCAGTTGATTAAAAAAAAATTTAAATTCTGGTCTCCTGGTCTCAGCACACCAGTGGAACAAGATGAATAAAGAGCGGTAACTAACTTACCAGTATGTGAGTACATTTACCTGCTATGTTTCACTTTACATACATGAGTTGCTGACAGGGTCTCTTTACAGAAAGGGTGAATCCAGGAGCCAGCAGGAGGATTTTTTCTTTAGACATAAGCTCCATTGACAACTAGAGAAACCCTCAAACGTTAGTACCAGCTGTCTTTCTTAAGGAGCGTTGGTGACCTGGCTCCTGGGATTTGTCCAGCCCTGGGTTACATTGAAGTTGATGTAAACATTCCTTATATGAAAAGATGAAATACAAAACACATGTGAATGGTACAGAAATTGGGACGGATGTGATTTCTCACTAGTGAACACCCAAAATGTGCAGAGAATAATGGCACTTCCTAAACACTGACAGGCCACACATCAGCATGCAGAGAACACTGCCATGGCTGACAAGGAGCTTCCTGAATGGACGCAGCGTATCCTGAGCTCAGTGCGAGTAAACATACGGAATGAATGTGGACTGCAGCACTATCTTTGTTTACATGGCGCTGGAAATCTCCATTTCCCCTTTTATTCAATAAGAATGTGGAATAATGAGCACACTAGAAGGAAGGCAGGGGGAGCAGGGTGACGGGGGGCAGTAAAAGGGG